CACCTCCTGAAAAGGAGCAAATAAAGTACTCAGGCATCTCCCTACCCTGCCAGTGACAAGCTTCCTTCCCAGAGAGCTGCAGTTCAGGACTGATAAACACACATCAGAGTCCCCACACCCCACTCCTTCCTTTCAAGACAAGGACATGCAGGCACCCAATTAGACATTTAAGTCAACAAGATGAAGAAATTCTACTCTCCAGGCCAAGGTTGCTTCCATTCCAACATGCAGCCTCATCACCTCCAAGCACTCACACATACCTGAGTTCTTCCCCAAACCCTGAGTTCATTAAGCTGGAAGGGACTAGACTGTCCGCCTTCATCTCTAGCCTATCATTTGGTGCTCTGGTATCTAAATGCATTGGAACCTCCTGTGTGAAGTGCCAGAATGTACGGTCCTGTCGGGCCTTGTAGTATAGACCTGTAAACCCAGCTACTCAGGAGGCTGAGGCAGAAGGAGTACAAGTTCAGTGACAGCTTGGGTTACAGAGGAAGTTCAAGGCCATCCTGGGCAACTTAGCAGGAGCCTATCTCAAAACACATAAACATAAAATGAATTAAAATGGGCTGGAGTGTGGCTTGGTGGTAAAAGCTCTTGTCTAACATCGGTGAGGCTCTGTGTCTAGTCCCCAGTGCCTCCACCATGAAAAGAAACCAGTGGGGGTAGGAGGACTGTATAGGGAGAGCCTCCCTCCAGCACAGCTACACTGACACACATTTAAGGGCACTCATGGGTGGGTTCCAGATGGAGGGCTGGCTGGAGGATTGCTTCATGACTAGCAGTGGCAGTGAAATTCCGTCCCACCAGGATTCCTTCAGACCTCAGCCTTGCTGCATTCAGCTTTGCTGTCCAGCATCCGCCATGGTCAGAGAGGAGGAAGTCAGGTATAACAAATCAAGTTTGGTTTGGATTGTAACTCCAGGTCCAGGCTGATTCTTGTCCTCTGTCTTGCTTGGAGGGTTCTAACATCTCTTGCTCTGGGGGAACTGGACTCGTAGACACCATTGCCTGCTTCTTTGCTGACTTTTTTTTTTTTGGAGCACAGTTGCCAGTTCTGAAGCCACTCTTGGGAGGTCTCCTAAAACACACTGATAGAATACAGAATTTCCAGGTTTGACCAGTGTAGGGAGAGATCTACGTACCAGTAGCGCTGACCATACCCGTTTGCTATGGTTTCTTAATGGCTAGCTCTGACTTACTTTTAACCCATAATTACTAATATATATTTTTATAAGGTCTTATCTTACTGAGAATGCCAGACTTGTGCCCTCTCCTCCCGGAATCACATGGCAACTCTCTACTCTTGACTACGTTTCCCAGAATCCTCCTCGGCTCCTAGTCTCACCTATCTTGCTTTCCTATTGGCCATCATTGCTTTATTTATCAACCAGTCAGACAAACATATACACAGAAGGACTTCCCCATCAGGATGGCCAAGCGGTCTAAGGCTGTGCTTTCAGTTTGCAGTCTCCCCGGAGGCGTGGGTTTGTATCTCACTCCTGACACCAGATAATACAGAAATATTAGGCTACACAAAATAGGAATGTACTATGATATTTTATTGAGGGAGAAATCACTTATGTGAAAAGCCAAGAAATTCGAGAACCAAAGGTCTGCATGCTGCTCTCCAGAAAGCAACCGGAACCCAAAGAGAGAAAGTGTTTGCTCCCCCTAACTCTTTTATCCCAAGTTCATATTTTTATAACAAAATTTGCCAAATACTTTGTCATTTGTGCCTAAATGCCAAGTAATTTGAGATGGGTAGTTGAACCACTGGACAGAGCCTGTGGACTGGTGCTTGCAGCACCCAAGTCCCAGAGACTGATAGTTTTGAAAGATGAGTAAATATGAGTAAATATGAAGGTGGACTTCAGTAACATGCCATCAAGTCTGAGCAGAGAGCTTCCTCTCTAAATTTACAAAGGAACACGTTCCCTGTTATAGTCCAATATATAAAGGACAATTAGCCAACTAGCCTGTATCCATACCTTTCTCCTGCTCACTCAACCAGAATTACATGCTGCCAAGCTTCCAGAGGCCACTGTCATTTTGTCAAGACTTTATTCACTAAATAACGTCCTGCAGGTGAGAGGAAAGAACAGAACTTAGCCGGCCTCATAGTCTTCCACTGGCTGATGCCCAGCCTGGCACCAGCCAAGGGTCTGCCAGCTGGTACACAGAGTGTTGGCTGCTAGCAAAAGGGATACTCAGCGGGCAGGGGCTCAGAACTAAAGGCTTCTGCCACTTTATCGAGCAGGGGCTGGGGTAAAAGACAGGATCCGGAGGACTGGGAGTGGCAAAGGACTGATTTGGTACAGAGATGTATCCCAACTCTGCCAAGCTTGGAGTGAGGAGCAGGTCCTTGGCCAGTGCTCAGAGACCACTGAGCACCAACGCTGGAGCAAAAAGAGCCTTCCAGGCCAAGCCTCCACGGTTGCCTGTGGCTGGTCCTGAAGGGTCACACAGGAGGCTTTAGCCTAGAATCAGAAGATAGATAGGTAGATAGATAGATAGATAGATAGATAGATAGATAGATAGATAGATAGATAGATAGATAGATTTGATGACAGACATCACAGTCCCACTGTCGGGAGATTGAACAGCACTGACTGTGATCTCCATGTAAGAAATCATAAAATCAGAGGACTGTTTGAAACAAATGTCCCAAATTCCTTTCTTGTTCCCTTTGGACTAGCTAGATGTTTTTCACTCCCAAGAGTAGTAAAAGTTGAGTGTTTTTTATTCTAAATGATTGCCTTTGAAGATGGAAGATGTGGGATTTTCCAGAACCTGTTCTCTAAATTCCTAATTCCCTGTGGAGTAAATCACCTTTATCCTTTCATGTGGCTAGTAATTGGGAGGGAAGTTATCTAAGAAAACTATCCAGTTGACTCCATAAGAATTTAATATCAAGCCTGGTCATTCAGTGTGCCAATAAACAACACCACATCTACTTTGCAGTGAAAACAGACCTCAGCTGTGTCTGGAAATGCAAAGCTGACCTCCACATCAGGGAGCATGTTTAAGGACCCATTATCTCTAGAGAGGAAATAGAAATCTCTAGAAATTTCTCACTTATTTCTGCTAAGTGAAAAAGGTAAATGGAATATCACCTAAAATCTGACCAGAGCAATAGCGACGGGTCCAGGCCTGAGGCTCTAGAGGGAACATAAGAGACCCAGTCCTCCTTGGCCATCATCGCTGCCTCAGCTTTTGTTCCATTTTGGTTTTTTGACTTTTCCTGAAGGAACACATCCTGTAATATGATGAAGAAGATACAAAGCTGCAGGGCCTATGACAAGAGAGTGTTGCTCAAAGCAGGCATCCTCAGCTTTGTCATGGCTGAGGAGGAGATTTGCAGAGCTTCATACCCACTCTGTCCCCCTTGAGGTCCCTTCCCTTGTGTTGTCCCAAACCTCTGGAGACCAGCACCCTGGCATATTAATCCCAAGATCAGAGGGATGGAAGAGAGCGAGATCAGAGGGAAGCCACGCATTACATGGGGTGGGGGGGAGCACCACAATGTGGGAACTGGACGGTTGGCAGCCAAACACTTTAATCTGTGGGCGCCTCATAAAGGAAGAATGTGGTAGTTCAAACAGAAGTGAAGACACACACGTGTATGTGTGTGTGTGTGTGTTTGTACACAGTGTGCATGCACGCCTATGCATGCCATAGCACAGAGGAAGAGGTCAAAGGACAACTTGGTAGGGTCAGCCCCAGAATTCCATTTGGATCATCAGGGTTGAAAGCAAGCATCTTTACCTGCTGGGCCACATCACTACTCAGCCTGTACACAATTACCGTGATCTTCCAAAGCAAAAAAATTGGTTAGAACTTTATGTCTGGGTACATCCACCCAAATCCACATCATCATCTAGTTACATAGTCGCTTATCCCTTACCAGACAATTGTACCTATCATCTGTCACCTGCCATGCACTGGGCACTAGGACTCAGGGAAAGTGGCCAAGCTCTGCCAGGAAAATATCCTCAGTCTATCTAGAAACATCGCTGACACCAACAAAATTGCTAGTAAAGGCCGTGGTACCACTAGGCATGGAACATTGTGGGAGGGTCACAGAAAAGGGCTCTGAATGTAGCCCAGGGGGACAGTGGGAGGCACTCTTAGTTGTCTTAGAGAGGAGTAGGTGAGCCGTGGGGAGATAGGGGAGGAACAGAAGGAGTGAGGTAAGAGCTAGAAATAGAGGCAGGAGCCAGACAGTGGGAGGCAATGGAGATGCCAGGAAAGGGGGGATGTGACACGATGACATTGGAGGGCAGACTTTCTGGAATGTATGACTTTTATGAGCCTCAAGGTGCTAAGAGTGGCACTTTCTAGACCCCGGGGTATAAACCTAGAAACTCTAGTCTAGGCCAGAAGTGTCTAGCTCCTAACATGCTTGTGGGCAGCTTGGGAATTGATTATAATAACAGTTCTGGTAAGAAGCCTAGAGTAGAACCTGGTACCCTGCATTTCCTCCATGCTCCCAAGAAGGCCAGTGCTGCTCCTCACTGACTCCTGGAGTTCCCAAGAGTCTAGCTTTGCACTGCGCAGTACATTAGATGCTCGCCACATCAGACTCATTTAGGTTAAACGGCATTACAAATGTGGTTCCCAGGCTGCAGGTTAACCACAGATCAAATGCTCGGTATGCATGTGGGGCTGGGGGCAGCCATGTAGAACTATGTGAAGAACATTGCTGTGTTCACACGAGGTTCAACTGGACAGACTGGGCCAGAGGGAAAACCATTGTGACATTCATTCATTCATTTACTATTTGTAGAGCAGAATGCTTGTTGCCGGGCATTAAGGCAGCAACAGAAAGAACTATCATTCTTCACTAGCTATACAACTTAGTACCTTGGAGCAGAGGTGCCCCCGACATGGCAAGGAATCCACCGCTGTGCAGGTTGGAGGGAGGAGAGGACATCTTGCACCGTGGTAGTCACAGAGGCTTTATGAGTTTGTCAACCGCTGATGCGTTTTTCCCATTCCAGGGCCATAATCATCAGAAATGGAGAAATCATCCCCATGTCTTCGGAATTCACCCCTGAGACCGAGCGCCAGCGACTTCAGTACCTGGTAAGAGTCATGTGGGTCCAACAGGAGGGTAGTGATCCTGGGAGTGGTGTCAGGGCTCTTTGAGAGGAACGGGTTGCTGTGACATGAGAGGAGCCCTACCCCAGGCAAACGACACACACATACACACCTTCTGGATCACACATCCTGACTCTGTGTGTGATGGTTACACTCAACCTCCGAGAATTTATTATTGCAGCTAAGTTTTCTCCCATCTGCATCCAACTGCGCTCAGTATGCTCTACTTCTAACAGTGGGTCAGTGGGCATAACACAGGGCCCTTCTGAAAAGTGCACATACTTCTTCCCTGGCCTGCAGCTCAGCAGAGCTCCTTCAGGTCTCACCATCGGTCACATTACCAGAGGAAGCCTCTTCCCCATAGCAGCTGAGATCCCTGATGACATGCCACAACTTTACACTCAAATGGGAAGGCTTGGGCCCCTTGGGGACCATGCAGGTGTCAAAAACCTGTTTCTACATTGAAAATGAATTCTCCCTAGACGATCCTCCTGGGTTGAAATAGTGGGAGGGCTCAGGAGACCCATGCTATCCTTAAAAGTTTTATGAAAAACAGAATGAAATTCTCTTCCTTGCCCTCAAACTCCAGAAACAAGATACTGGGCACAGAAGTAAGTCTCAGATCAAAGTTGTAAGGATGCAGGCATTATGCTGGCCTGCCCCTGTCACCTGACAGAATGCACTCAGGAGTACCCTAGTCAGCCCAGGGTTCCATGGTTTCGTAGTCTGCACGCAGGTGCAAAGGACCCTTTAAAAGACAGACCCCACCCACTTACACTCTCTTTCCCTCTCTCTTTCCTGCTGTTCCCCTGTGGCAGACAGGACATTTCCTGTCTCCCTCCTCTCTTTTGTCTTCTCTGTGTCTATGTCTCCTTACCTCTTTTCTCTTTCCTTCTCACCCCCTTTCCCTATCTAATAAAATTCCTCACTAAGCTCTGTCTGCCTGGCCTGTTTGTTCCCTGCCTAGGTCACCCTGGCCTGCCATTCAATTGCCAAGGTTCCCTACTAGCTTTATCATAAAAAAGTAACTTGGGGGCCACCCCAAGTCCCAAGCTACTTTGGAGTCTATGGAGAAAAATATTTTCCCGCCAGAATTTCCTTCTAGTAAGACTCCAGTAGTGCTTTCAACTCTCTGAACAGACTGGTCCATGCTGCTCACAAAGTTCTATCCTATTGTGCCTCAGCAATGTAGATAGTTGAGGGGAGGGGGCTATCAAGCACTTCATTTTTTTTTACTGTGTGTGTGTTTAACTTGTGAGAGTCACTTTTATCCTACTGTATGGGTTCCAAGAGAGTGAACTCACGACACCTAGCTTGGCAGCAAGTACCTTTACTGCTGTGCCATCGCTGGTGAGATTTGATTCCTGTGGTTGACTTACAAAGTATCCCTGTACCTTTGCTCAGTTCCCCAGGGAGTGTTGTAGGCTCTAACCCTACAACATCACCGTTCTAGTTACATTGTTACTAGTTACAAGGCAAATGTGAGAGCAGGAATCCCAGACTAGCATAAAAAATTGCTTAATCGTCTACCCAATTTGTTTTGTTTGGTTGGTTGTTTTAAGGGGTTTTCAAGACAGCCCAGCCACAGGCTTACAGTATCCCCTCTCTTGCCAACACCTTCACCTCCATGTAAATTTATTATAGTGTTGTTATACCAAAACATCCCAGTGAAAGCAACTGGATGGAACAAAGGTTTTCACTTGACTAACAGCTCCGGTGTGCCGTCAGGAATCTGTAGCAGCTGATGACATGATGTCCACAGTCAGGGAGCAGAGAGGGGTGGTTGCTAGTGCTCTGGTCACTTTCTACATTTTACTTTGTCTGCCAATAAAAGAAGGTCTTCCTATCTCAGCCAAACTAATCTACAAAGCCCCCCCCCCACGTGCCCATTGGTTTGTCTCCAAGTGACTCTGAATCCCATCAAGTTGACAGAGTAGCCATCACAGCCTTGCTCCAAGAACTGGGACAGGAGGAGTAAGCCTGATTTCTAATGCCTCTTTCTGGAGGTTGTGGTAGAATGTTCTTGAAGCTACCAGTAGTGGAGCTCGACTTTTTTCATTTTTCTTTTGGTTCTCTGGGAAAATGTAGATGCTTGACTCCAGTCCCTGCTCTGCTATTCCCTAACTGGATAGCTTTGTGCAGGTCTCCTAAGTTGTCTAGACCCGTGAAATGTATCACTAGACAGGAGGATTCACCAAAGGCCTCTGCAATACAAAGGTCATTCCCAGTAAGTTTATAACAGCTGGCCTCTCTGTCACCTGTGTGGCTTTCTCTGTCACCCAAGGCCAGGAAAATGATCTTAGCATAGACCTTGTCACTTCTTCCTAAAGCTTTGAGCTGCCTTCCATGGAGAGAATGCAGCCAGACTTGGTCAATTCAGATCCCCACCTAAGCACCCAGCCGACTCTCTGACACCGGCTCCCTGTGGCTACTGCTACCCACCCCCCACCTCCCCGCCCCCACTCCTCCAACCCACTACCCTTTCTGTCAGCTCACTCCACTGTCTCTCTGACCTACACCCCTTTGAAAACTTACTCTGTTTAGACAGCTTTTCCTGTCTCTGCCGGAAGAATTCCCTCATCCCTTGAGATGCCAGCACAAGAGACACTTCTGGGAAATGTCTTCTAATCCTCCCAGGTTGTCAACCCCCAGTGCTGGTACAGCAGTATGTAGAGGCTTGCAGTGTGGCTTTCATGGTATTATTGTTTTGGGTTTTTTTTCCAGATCTCTAGCTTCCTCTCCAGATTGTGTTCTGGAAGTCACCGCACTTACCTTAGTCACCTAATTGCTGAACTCAGCCTAGCAGCTGGCACAGAGCAGACATTGAATGGGTGTGAACGAAAGAATGCTGAGTCAGCAGCAGGCAGTGCTTTTTCCCCCTGTCCTCCCATGCCTATGACAGCGGGGCATGAGGCATTTGAGGCATTTGTGTCTTTTACCTCCACTCTTAGCAGCTCTGCCCCTCCACGTCCCCCATTGAAATCCGCTTCCTACTGGAGGCAATGGATAATAAGAAGATACTTTCTTGTGCTTTTAAATTTTTAAATAATGTACTTTCTTTACCAAGTAAAGTTGAGCATGGGGCTAAGCTTTAAGGCAGGATAGGAATGGCTGGAGTTATCCGGGGACAGTAGGCATAAGATGAATGTGACTGTGTACAATTTCCACTCGTCGTGCCATTGATTGCTAACCATCAGTTATGGGGTAGGAAACCTCAGAGGATTAAGCAAAATGATATGCACAGGATTTCTTTGTGTCTCCCAGTCCTCATTTAGCTCCTATTTGATGAATTCCACACTCTTGCTCCTTCAAACATGCCTTGGTCTATCTGGGTTGTTAAAACAAAATTCCATCAAGCATCTGGCTTAGAAACAACAGAAATGCATTTCTCGCAAGCCAGAGGCTGTGGAGTCTGGGATCAAAAGCCCTGCAAGTCTCAGTGTTTAGTGAACGCTCACATCCTACTTCATAGCCAGGCATTTTTTTCCCAACCTCATATGACAAACTTGTTCTTAGAAGCCTCTTTGCCCCATCCTTAAGCTATAATCACACACACACACACACACACACACACACACAAAACCATACCTCCTGATGTCACCACATAGGAATTTGGCTCCAACATATGACCGTGAATACATAGACCGTGTATAAAAATTCACTCTACAGCAAAACCCTGCTGGCCTGAGTTCCATTTTGCCCTGCTTTTCTTAGCACCCACTAAGATGTTGCTAAGATGAAGGGATGTTTTGGAGTCTGTCTTGACCAATCAGCACAGATGCTATTAGTCCGCAAAATGGGGCCGAATGCTCAATTTCTGAAAGACGGGGACACCATCCTCTTAATCCCCAGCAGAAAGACATGAAGGGTGGACACAATCAGGATCTAAGCCACCCTGGTTGTCCAGTCTCTTAAAGATTCACTCAAGTTTAGGAATATGTGCTCTGAAATGACCTGCTCTGGCCATAATAATCACACTGCGTGACTGTTTGTAGTGAAGAATTTGAAGTTTAAATATTCGCAGTGCAACCCGTGAAATCTTCATGACAAAATGTTTGTTAGAATTAGGAGGCTGATAGTGTGAAGTTTTGAAAATAGTATCAAATATGAGAGGAAAATCACCAGAGTGGAGTAGACCGTCTTCAGTCCAGCCCAGTAATGACCCGTGTAACCTCAGTCCTCGCCCATAACTTGTTCAGAAGTGGAAATGAAAAGTAGCCCCATGGCGATTTAAAACGTAGTTGTTCTGCAGCTTAATGATGCGGCTTTGCCCACTCACAAACTCATCACAGTTGAATAATACCTAAGTCAAAATGCAGCCAATATATCTCATTTTCCAAACGGTATAGCTAAGCGGTGCCCAACTTCAGCATACCCAGCCACATGTACATTGGCTTACTGTACGGGGAAATTATCCAGCAAGCTGAGTGAGGTGGCACACTTCTGTAATCCCAGAACTCAGGAGGCAGAGGCAGGAGAATCATGTCAGATCAAGGCCAGTCTGGGTTACACAGGCAGACCCTACCTCTAAAATACATACATACATACATACATACATACAATAGATAATATGGTGCTGAGTATCTCATTAATTTTATTGATTGGGCTGCTGAAGTAAAAATGGAGCTGTTGTGTGGATACGCTTTATGCTATCATGGAGTCAAAAAAAAATTAAATCCAACCATTGTCAGCCAGGGACCATCTGTGTGTGAACCATCTTATGGTTTTAATTGCACATGCTTCTGCTGATTTTTTGAACATCCATTCCCCTAATCTAATTATGAATGGTTGGCGGCAAAGATAGTTGGAATGTCCTTTTCCCTCACATGATCTCATCCAGTGATATAAGTTCAGGCATCTTCTTTATTCTTAGGACAAATCAAATTTTATGTTCACATTGTGTGAAGAAATATTTATGATAGAATTATCAGAACATCTAGGCCCTCAGCTACTTGCTTTGGGTAGCTGTCTGCAGTCCCAAGGCTCTCCGACTTGGAGAAATGGATAATGAGCTTTGAGGAGTGGGGAGGGTGGTCAGAGCCCTTTGTGATCTGCAGTGGAGAGGAATGTTCTTGGTATGTACAGTCCGGATGCTTAGGGATTATGGAGCTGGAGGCAGATTGTAAAATGATGAATGTGCCAGGCATGTGCATTTTGTTTGGTCTTGCATCCTGACCTCAGGGGCTCTTGGGTAACATAAACTTTTGTTTCATAGGTTCTCCGATGGAGGTGACTAATAGAGCAGGCTTATGGGTTTGGTGTGCTCACACAAAAGGCAGGTGTATGTGTGATGGAGGGATCAGGAGCCCTGGGTTCTTACTCCAGCGGCAAGGTTACCTGATCGAGCCGACAGGCATAACTAAGCCTGGTTCTTCTGTAGCTGGTTTGGAGGGGGATTTTGTTTGTTTGTAGGCTAGTTTTTAATGGATTGAAATAAATTATTTTATTTATTTATTATGTAAATACTACAAAATACATAACTACATAACTACAGGCCAGAGGAGGGCACCAGATCACACTACAGATGTTTGTGAGCCACCATGTGGTTGCTGGGAATTGAACTCAGGACCTCTGGAAGAATAGGCAGTGCTCTTAACTGCTGAGCCATCTCTCTAGCCCCTTCTTTAGACAGAAGCCAACTGTGTTCTGTCTGAGAGCATCAAAGCATAGCCAGGTGAGAAGGGAGTCTAGCTACTGAATATTTCCCAGCAGAATACAGTGTTCTGTGTCTGTGGCCTCCAGGAAATCACCCCCATGGTTGGCAACAGAGAAATGAATCACCCTCAGGGGACCTCGGGAGCCCTGAGGTATGAGAGAGGACACTCCCTCTCCATTCTGCCTAGATGTCTTTATAAACTCTGGTTTGATTACATTAAGATGCTGGTATCCTCTAACCTTCTGGTAATATGCCCTGTCCTTACAGAGTAATCCATGTCTGCAGCTGGCTTTAATCAAGGACAATGCGCAAACAGGATGAAAGTGGGCTTTGGATACATATTTGATACACACAAATGTAGCTTTATCTGAGGTGACTGTGGTATCTTCTACCTACCCTAGCCCTGATCCAGCCTGGTCCTACTTGTCTGCCGTCTCTCTGGTGCTGGACTCAGGAAGGCTTCCAGGGAAGAGTGTCATACCTCAGAGCCTTCCTGAGATTTTTCATGCTCAAGGGTTATCTTCACAAAAATAGTCCTTCAGGCTGAGCCTACTTTTAAGACTGGGGGGCTCTAACAGAGTGGTTCTCAATCTGTGGGTCACAACCCCTTTGGAGGTTGAACACTTCCACAGAGGTCGCTGATCAGATACCCTACATAACAGATATGTACATTACGACCCATAACAGTGGCGAAAAATTAAAGTTATGAAGTGGCAACGAAAATAATTCTGTGGCTGTGGAGTCCCCACAACATGAGGAACTGTATTAAAGGGCCACAGCATTAGGAAGGTCGAGAACCACTCACCTAATGGGAAGTTCAAGTGTGCTTCTGGGTAAAAATGGCAGGAGCTCCACTTCACCTTGACATCGGTGGTTTGACCTAGTAACCTTGGTCTATGGTCGTTGTTATACAGTCTTCCCTTTGATTGTGCCATAGCAGGGTATATGGATGTGGGGAGATGAGAACAACACTCTAACTGCAGTGTCCTCAACACTCTAGCTCTGTCTCATAAGACTGCATAGAAGTTTGGGATTCCCAACTAAACAATGACAGACTAAAAACCACTGTAGCCTGCTTCTCTATCTCCTGAAGGCTCCAGGGACTATGCAGAAGCGTAACTGTGACCCTTCCTTGGAATCCACATATGCCAAACAGAATTGTTTCAGTTCTCGATCCAGTAATAACTTACATATACGAACTTGGTTCTTGTCACTTTGAGAGGTGACTGCGGTCACACACGTGTGCCACAGCTGGCATGACAGTGTCGGGGTACAGTCCTCATCCTCCTCCTTTGTTTGAGACCTGGTATCTGTTGCTTTTCCACTGGATGTCAGCATAGTGAACCCTTGAGCTTCCAGGAATTCCCGTCTCCACCATCTCCCTGTGGGAACATTAGGATCATAGATGCTGGTGTTAAGCATCTCACTTTTAAATGTGGGTTCTGGGACGTCAGCACACGTCCTCACATGAGTGGCAAATGCTTTTTGTTTAACACATTGAATCAACTTCACAGTCTCATTTTGAGATCTTTATTCTTTAAAACAAGGACTCACTGTGTACAGTCCTGACTGCCTGAAACTCGATATGTAGACGAGGCTAGCCTTGTCTCACATGAGATTAATTTGCCTCTGCCTCCCCAGAGCTGAGAGTAAAAATGTGTGCCATCATGCCTGGCCAAGAATCTCTCATGAAAAAAATCTAACACACACCTATTAAATGTGAAATCAGCCATTTCACATTTTTCCTCACCCACCCCTCCCTCAGCTCTGGAAGAGCCTTCTCATCCATCTATTGCGTGACTGTCAGTGATCACCAATGACCTGTCTGATGTTATTCATTTCATTTCATTTTTGACCTCAGATTTTCTATCGTGGTAAATGCTCTTGAATTGTACCGCATCCAACCCTCCTATCGTGTAATCTGATGAGAATTTTCCCCTCTAAGGGCAAGAAAAAAAGATCACTCAACTGGTTTTTGCTGTAGTTGTTTTGTTTCATTTTGGTTTTGTTTGTTTATTGTAATGAAACAAAAGATTTCTGGTAGCCAGTGAAATCTGTCTTTCAATTTTTTGAGATGTCTGGCTATATCTCAAAGCTGTAGTTGCACTTACCAGAGTGCTGCCTGTGGTGGGATCAGCCATGTCATTTGATTCGAAAGTGTCTTGACTCCCTGTATCCTGCTGATGGGAGTGGAAACTGAAGGCTTCTTTCAGAAGGCATTGGCAGCCACTCCGGAAGCAGAGCACGCCACAGCCCAGCTGCATTCTTAGGTATCTACCTCAGAAAGTCATGTGCAAATGTTCGTGCAAATACTAGAGTGCATAGAATGTTTGTCATAGTCCAAACTGGTACCTGTCCACCCATCCACAGAAAAGGGAATGAGCGTGTAAATCGTGACTTCATCCCAGCCTGAAATGCTGTATGGCCCTGAGAATGAAAACAATTATGGCTGCATATGACATGATGGATCTCAAAGACTTTTCTGCTCCTGTCCCCCAGAGTGCTGAGGATTGACCCTAGGGCCTCAAGCATACTAAGACCTCTACTACCAACCTATGTCCCCAGACTTAATTTGTGACTAAGGGGACTACAAGGAAGTACAAAAATGGGGTTTGAGAGATGCCTTAATTGGTAACAGCACTTGCTGGGCAAGCTCGAAGATCTGAGTTCAAATCCCTATAACCGACATAGAAAGCCAGGTGTGATCACACGTGTGCCTGCACTGCAGAGCTGTGGGGACAAAAACAGGAGGAGCGCTGGCATTTGATGAGTGGCAGCCTAGCTCTAGGTTTAGTGTCAACCCTCTCTTGCCATCGAGGTTCAGTCTCTGCAGATAAAGGGGGGCACACAAGTGTTTGAGCTCAAGAGAAGTGCAAACAAAGCACTTCTCATTTTATTATTAAAGCAAGCAAAACATGTGGTGATGTGTACAGTTAGCTTAAGCAAATACAAGTACAGTGAGGGAATACACCTGGCGTTATGTCTTATCACCTTTGGTCATGAGAAAAGAACCAAGTACATTCCTTCCAGGCCTTTGCCTTTCCCACAGAGATCATGGGACATACCAGGGCATTCCCTTCATGCGTGTCCTTGCTTTCAAGTGCATTGACTTATCATAGTTTATGCATTTCTTTCTGGAAGGCCACCTTGAGGGGAGAGCATTCCATTCTGCACTCCTGCCCAACCGTAGTTCCCAGTCGTTCACAGCTTTTATACACCGGCTCCCACTGATCAGCCAGAGACCCTATCTCTAGGAGAAAGGGAAGAATGATGAGAGAAATGGGACAATGGGTCATTGTCCTCTAGCCTCCATCCATGTACACATAGGCACATGCATGCACACACACACACACACATGCACACACAGGGCACACAAATGTAAGCTCAAAAATAGCCAAAGTCTATCTAGAAGTTGGAACACTGCTTCCCTCTAGGGTAGCCACAGGGAGTTTATAATTACAGAGGAAGTGGTCCCTAAGGGAGTGGGAACATTCCTTTTTTAATTGCTAACTACACAGGTATGTTCCATTTGTGAAAAATTATCACCCTTTACAATTGTATTATACTTCACTGAAATGCTGTAGGTAACTGTGTCTTTTATTCAACTATAGGTTATGTGTTTTAGGAAGAGCTTTTCAGTATTCCTCAGGAAGCCACACTTCCTGTCACCGCTTTCCTCTGCACCATGCTCTCTTAGGGACACCTCTCAGGCTCCTCCAAACATAGAGCTGCCCTCTGTCTTCTTGCATATGTGGCCTGCATTAGTATGGGTGTTCTTGTCTCCACAGCTCTTCAGCACCTTTCAGAGTCTCCCTGCCATTGCCTTTCTCCACCATGGAAAGCCCACTGTCTCCCCCGAGTCTCTGGGTGTAATGGCCATTGAGCTGGTAAAAGCCTTCCTCCCTCTTCCCCCATATTGTGAGCTTGAAGCAGCAGGGTCTCTGTGCTTAGGTTTTGAACACCTGACTTGTGAAGGAGCTAGTGTGAGCAAGCAGATTTCTTTGTCTGGATACTGAGCCCCAAACCTGACACAGTTTCCTTTTTGCTTGATAACCACTCACTAGCCATTTGGCTGCAAAGTAGCAAAAGAAAATGTCATTCTACAGCTGAACGAAAATGGCGAAGTACATTGTATTTCTAGCAGGCAGTTAGTTTCTGGTAGACCCACTGGAAGCCTAGAGTTCAGTACTTAACTTTAGATACAACCTTGGGATCTGGGTTGCCTGCTCTTGCTTCTATTTTCTCCTTAACTGCCAAAGTTCTCAAGAGTTCTGCTCAGCCCATAAAGGCATCCTCAGTGCCATGTGCTGGAGACAGACAGACCTATATGGATACTACATGGATGTTCCTAGCATTCATACATCTAAATAGCATCATCAAAGAGATATAAAATGTATTCACATATCAGATAAATACGAGATGTTCCGGAATGTGTCCAGAGATTTTGGTTTATGAGTGAACATAGGTCCTATGTACTTGATGCCACCTTGAATTTGGTCCACATTTTTGTTTTGTTTTGTTTTTTTGAGACAGGGTTTCTGTGTATAGCCTTGACTGTCCTGGAACTCGTGCATGTAGACCAGACTCGTCTCCAATTTACAAAGATCCCAAGTATTGGAATTAAAGGCATGCACTACCACGCCCAACCTTGGTCCACATTTTTAGCAAGTTAGCATCCCTATGAAATGTATGGGGGGGAGTATAGTGATGTATGCATATTTACGAACTGCCCAAGTATGGGAAGTAGAGTAAACCATAATTGTTCATGATTCTTACAACTTAAGAGCCAGGAAGTCATTAAGTTTCATTGCTTGAAGCAACCCAACAAGGTCTCCCACATTTTACAGATTTTCAGTGTTAGAGCTTGTTGCTAGACTCCAAAATGCTGGTGTAAGCCATCCTTCTAGTAAACCAGGCCAGTACACATGAAGCCATTCCAAACAGTCATGACACTTGGGTGCTGGACAGACTGGAGGAAGTTTCCAAATTCCCCGCTTGTTTGGCCCCTGTGCATCTGTCAACCCTGCTGACCTCTCAGGAATTCACAGACTTCCCCGTCTCCCTCATGGGAGCCAGGCCCCTCCCAATGACTGTAAGGAAATCAAATCACTAAAATAAGGCTCAGTGAAGCCCTTCCCAGCAGTTTAAAACCTCACTTAAACCCCGGATTCCCTTAAAGTCATAATTTTTAGAGGCTTTTGTTGTTTTGTTTTTATTGAAAGCAAACTAGGCAAAGGATTATGGGTCAGTGGTAGAGCACTTACCCATCATACTAAAAAAAAAAAAGGAATCTGTGATAGACATACTCACCAATATAGAAGTTAAAAATAAATTCTTAGATAACTTTTTGTTTTGTTTTGTTTTGTTTTGTTTTCCTGAGACAGGGTTTCTCTGTGTAGCCCTGGTTGTCCTAGAACTCAGTTTGTAGACCAGGCTGGCCTCAAACTCACAGAGATCTGCCTGCCTCTGCCTCCCAAGTGCTGGGATTAAAGGCATGCATGATCACCACCCAGACAGATAACATTTTTATAGTATGTTGATGGCTTTGGGCATATATACTTATGCATAATGCCTATAAAGACCTGCGTTAGTTTTTGTCAACTTGACACAAACTAGAGTCACCTGGGAAGAGGGAGCCCAACTAAGAAGCTGAATCCACCAGAATGGTAGGATGCCATGTCTGTGGGCATTTTCTTAATTAATGGCTGATGTGCGAAGTCCAGCCCACAGTGGGTAGTACCACCCTAGGCAGACAGTCCTGGCATGTATAAGAAAGCAAGCTGAGCGAGCCTTGGAGAGCAAGTGTTTCAGCTGCCATCAAGGACAGACTATGGAAATGAAAGCCAAATAAACCCTCTCCCATCCAAATTGGCTTCAGCCAGTGTTTTACCATGGCATCAGGAAGCATATTAAGGCAAGACGTAGATACGAAGTTTCATGGTACTTATAAGAAATGAAAGCACTAACCAGCACAGGTCTCTTCCTCTGAAACTTGACGGGTTAATTTTATTTATTATTCATTTGTTCATTATTTATTTATTTATGCATTGTAGGTTTTCTGTGTCACCTCGCCATCTCATTTTCTCCTTAAGCAGCCATGTTTGCTCTATTCTTTGAGCTGCATTAGTTTAGCACCATTAACTCCAGACACTCTGCTCAGGGCAACCGAAGGGAGTGTGTGAAGTTCTCTGTAGGAGGGACTGTCCAATATGGGGCAAGTGGTGACTTTAAGTATCAGTGAGTAGTAAAGAGATGTCATAGGTGCAGATGGGCCGCTAATAGCTCCACAGAAGTTACAAGCACTTATCAGGACACGGGTGCTGTGGCAATTATCAAAAGAGACAGAATAATCACCACAGAGGCAGAGAAACCCAAGGGTGTGGCAAGACTATAAATGTGGGATTCCATAGACTATCTCCTCATAACCAAGATGCTTTCCCACACACATTTCAATATATGTGAAGTTGGAACAGGATACAGATGCAAGCATAAATGAGTAGACATATATAAAGACGGGACAGTTTCTTCTATCCCTTTATGAGGTTCATTGTTAGACCCCTAAATGAAAGACAGATTGACAAGAGATAAAGCAGAAATGTATCTAATATACTTGTTATTTGACACATAGGGTATGTCACATAAGAAAATAAAGAGTTGAAGAAACACACGAATGTCAAAGATTGTGCTCAGATCTGGTAAAAAGTGGGCGCATGGGGCTGGAGAGATGACTCAGTGATCTCAAACACTTGCTGCTCTTGCAGAAGGTCCCGGCCTGGTTTGCAGCACCCACACTGAGCATCTCACGACCGCCTGTCACTTCAGTCCTGTCCCCCAGCCTCTTTGAACACCAGGCACATGTGTGGTACATGCAGGCACCCTCACATACACATAAAATAAAGAAAAAATATTATCTTAAGGAACAGGTCCATGGGAGATGTGGGAGTTGATAGTGGGACCATTGAATAGGAGTAAACCGGGAAAACTTAACAAGACTCTTAAAAACAATTTAAAGATGATTTATGTATTTTGAATGGGAGCATGTGTGGAGAGAAAGAGGTCATGCTTCTCCGGCCACCTTGTAGGATCCAGGGATTGGTTGTCAGGCCTGTCCACTAGGACCTCTGCCCACTGATCCACCTCACTAGCTTGAAGGATGTGTTGTTTACTTCCTACAATGGTACATCCCTTCATAGTAGATATAGGAGGGTGCCTCTGGAAGAGGAGTCTTCCTACCTGACCTGCTCTAGGGGAGAAGGGCCGGGGGACAGCAGGAGAGAGTTTGTGTTCCTGCTTTCTTCTGGGTATGTCATGTTCTAGGATGGTGTGTCTGACCCTGTCTTACCAACTTGCAGGGTGGTTGACAAGTGTCTAGGGGGAAATTCCTCCCGATGAAGAAACCACCCATAAATCTTGTTTGGATCCAACTGGTTCTGTGGCAGGAATGGGTTGGGCAGGAACGAGAAAGGGCTAGCCACATTCCTGGAGTGGGAGTCAGCTGGCTGAGGAAGACAGTCGCTAAGCTTTTGAGGTATGCTGCGGTCAGTTAAGAAGCGCAGTGTCGATGATGCTGTCATGAGACACAGGACGTGGTGAAAACTGTGACCCTCTTGATTCTGAACAGAAACACAATGAGAGCCCACGAAACAGTTGCGGGGGAGTTTTAAGCAACACACAGATGGTCCTTCGTTGATGGTTTGGCTGCAGACTTTTCAACCTGAGGATAGTGTGGAAGCCAAACACAGACAATAGACACCACACTTCAAATTTTACATTGTTTTGTGTTGTTTTGAGATAGAAAACCACTATGTAGTGTGATGCACCCTGCGATAGGCATGAACCACCGTCAGCTGAATTTCTATCGTGTTCTAAGCTACAGATGTGTGATATCACTCTCTCACAGTGCTGGGCAGCAATGGTGGCAAGCCCTAACTTCCTGCCAGCCATGAACTCCCTGGAGCTATTAATGGAGACTCCACAATGTATTGTGTTGCTCTACTACAGTGTTCAGTGGGTTAAGACTGTTAAATGCACTTTAACCGAGTGTACCGGGGTTGTAGCCATATCATAATGAAGAGTATCTGAACTTTACATATGCATCCCATACCGTGTATAGACCAGGCTAAGAAGGTGGCTCAGTGAGTAAGAGCTCTTGCTCTGCAAGCATTCAGACCTGAGTTCAAGTCCTCAATACCCATGTAAAAAGCCAGGCATGACTACACATGTTCGTAGTCCCAACACTGGTGGGTGGAGGGAGACAGGTGAATTCCTCAGAGTTCGCTGTCCAGCCATTGAAGTTCTATTCAGTGAGAGACCCTGTCTCTAAGCATTAACGGAGAGTCACAGGAAGACATTGCACACCCTGCCTGATCTCTGTATGGGCAGGCACAGGCATGTTTGCCTACATGCTTATGTACTGGCACCACACACATGAGAATATACATATATATATATGTGTGTGTGTATGTGTGTGTGTACATATATATATATATATTGATACATAATGAAAACTTGTCCTAAAGGAATTTTTCCAAAGGGAAAAATTTGAAGTGGTAAAAGAAGAGCATTGTACACAATTTAGGTGGCAGCCTAGTTCTCTCTCTGCGATGTGGAAGAGTGGTGTAGCATCTAATAAGCGTTTCAAGTTGGACTGGATGAAATAGAACACTTTCTTGTTAGCACTGGAGAGAACATAGCTTGTTGAGACTGTGACCAGCTTTCAGTGTGGGGTCCCCTTTGTCAGAAGTGGCTCGACGTTAGGCTCCTTTAGTCCTGGTGACTTGGACAGCTGTAGCAGCTCCAGGAGATAGCAATGTGTCTGAGGATTTGGCAGCTAACCCAGGGGCATCTACGTCAACAAGCCATCTGGCAAAGCTTCCCAGGTAAATGAATACTAGCAAAAATGGACACAAGGGTACCTGGCTAAAGCCCCATCCAAGGGCCTCCTCACCCTTCTGTTAGGAAACAGAGTGCCTGACTTCTGTGCATTAGCCCTTGTGGAAGAAGGGAGAGCTTGACTTTCTTGTCCATTGCTGGGTTCATAGCTGATGACCCGGCCACAGGGGATAAGATAAAAGCCCAAAAGTTATTTAATAAAAATTGCACATGGCACAGCATCCTTTAAAGGCAAAGAACCAAAGAAAAATTGTATTTTTTTTTTTGGTTTTTTTCGAGACAGGGTTTCTCTGTGGCTTTGGAGGCTGTCCTGGAACTCGCTCTGTAGACCAGGCTGGCCTCGAACTCACAGAGATCCGCTTGCCTCTGCCTCCCGAGTGCTGGGATTAAAGAAAAATTGTATCTTTTGTGACTAGTCATGTGTATGCTGGAGAATATACTACATGCATGCCTGTTACATGCAAAGGTCGGAAAAGGGCGTTGACCTCCCTGGAACTGGAGTGACAGATGACTGTGAGGCCCCATGTGGGTGCTGGGAATCCAACCCAGGTCTGTATGAGAGAATCATATGCTTTTAACGGCTGCGTCATCTCTCCAGGCCCAGTTCCTTGTTTTTTAAGCTGAGTTTGTGTCACGGGCTTTGTGGTATTGGTGAGTGAGATACAGATTACTTGTATAAGGTGCACGGTAGTTTCTAAATCAGTCAAGTCCAACCTGGGGATAGGAACTAGACCAAACCTCCACACTGATAGAGATAGAGCCTCAGGTTCGGGAAGAGGATGAGGGTGCATGGAGACACTCCTGTTTATTAGCACTAAATTTAAACTTCTGTTCTTTAGTCTTAGTTTCTTTTCATTTGTTTGTTTTGTTGGGTTGGGGAGGGTCCTTTGCTTCTTTGTTTTGTTTTGTTTTTGTTTTTCAAGGCAGGGTTTCTCTGTGTATCCCTACCTGTCCTGGGACTCCCTCTGTAGACCAGGGTGACCTCAAACACAAAGAGATCCACCTGTCTTTGTTCCTGAGTGGTGGAATTAAAAGTGTATGCCGCCACCACCCAGCGCTATCCTTTGTTTTCTATTGGTGGATCAGTGCTAACAAGAAAATCCTAACTATACTTTGGGTGTGGCTGCTACATGGGCATGTCATTGGTGTGTAAAACTAAATACAAGTACTGTTGTCCCTGTCTTGAAATTCTCTATATATTCATTTTGTTCTGGGGCCCACAAATTAAGTAGTGGTTCCTCCTGCCCTAAGGTTTTTGGAAGGATGTAATAAGAGAATTCAGAAAGCATGGAGCATAAAAATCATTAAATGGATATTAAAGTTGTGCTTGCTCGTGTGTGTGTGTGTGTGTGTGTGTGTGTGTGTGTGTGTGTGTGTGTGTGTGTGTTGTAGGGAGTCAGAGAACAATTTCAGGTGCCATTTCTCACCTTCTATCTTGTTTTGGCATCGCCAACACATATTACTGTACCGGCTCTACATGGGTTTAGGAACTTGAACTTGGGTCTTGTCTTCATCCTCATGCAGCAGGACTTTACCTACTCACCAGCCCTAGTTATTTTTCATAAGCAAAGACAACCATGATGAGAACACTTAAGATATCTAATTATGAAAATGTCAGTAATAATGTCACTTTCAAAACAATGAAACCAAGGCCCAAGGAATTAAATAACTCATTAAAATCACGAAATTAATGAATACAGAGCTCGATGGCTCCTAACGCAGACTGACTCTATTGCATATTAGCTTCCTTCCTTCCCAGGGGAGCCTCTCTCCATGAACCCTGCCTGGTCTGGGAGCTTCCCTGTTACCTATCAGAGACCTTCAAAGCAGCCGGGGCTCCCACCAGATCTGGAGTCATTTGGAGTCCTACTGGACAGACAGGAAGACAAAATCTCTTCACTCTCAGTCATCCTGCCTGTCTCTTGCCATCCTCCCTGCTGTGCCTGTAACTACTGCATCAGAGCTCCCCAGCCTGGTGATAGACAGTGCAGATTGCTTCCCTGGTTCCAGGGAGCCTAGCACTGCCTGGTACCCTCCAGATCTTCAAGAGCATCAGTAGGGATCTACTGCTTTGGGAAGGAGGCTATGGGAAATACCTGTTGTAGGTTGAGCATCCCTAATCCCAAAATCTAAAATCTGAAATGCTCTCAAACCTGACAATTTCTGAGTGTTGACATAATGCCTTAAGTGGAAAATTCCACACTGGACCTCATGTGAGAGGCTGTAGTCAAAGCACATACTGAAAACCCTGTGTGAAACTGCCTTCAGACTGTGTGTAAGCTGTTTCTGAAACAGAAATGAATTTTATATCAACTTGGATCCCATTTTGTATCTGAAAATATTCCAGTTGTGCCCCCCCCAACGCTTCCTGCCCTAAGCGTTTCAGATAAGGGATACTCAACTTGTACCCGTTAACTGAGGGTGTGGCCATCTGTTCTGCAAGGGGGATCCCTTGCCTTCCTACAGTGGCTAGCCATGACGTACACTGTCCCCTCATCCCCGCTATAAGGAGAGGCAATGCTTCCCATCACAGTGCTCTCCTGCAGGAGTTGGGCGGGATGTGGGGAGGTTCTAACACAGATACACGGGTCTGCAGCTTTGGCAGGGAAGTCAGAATGTGACCACTTCATCTCGCAGATAGCTAGATATGGAGTGTAATGATGAGACGATTGTTTCAAAGCAGCCCTGCGTGTGACTGTTTGTTCAGGGAATGGGAGAAGCCATCTGTTCTGGAATAGTCTAGCAAAAGACTACAAAGCAACTGGAGGAGAGTGGGTCCAGCAGAAGGCTTCTGTGTATCTAGTCCCGCTGTGAGGGATCTGGCTGTTCTCTTGGGTGTGCTGGAGTCCCTCATGCAGCTCTGAATGGCAAATCCATGGGAACTACTGTTAAGTGAGGGCAGAGAAGGGCAAGGGAGGGGTCGGGGTAACCTTTCTGGCCTTCAGTCTAGCCAACATTCTTTCCAGAAAGCAAAACCAAACTGCAAAGTCGACTTTGAAGAACCCACGCTCACCCCTAAGCCATTAGATATGCATGCCTTTGATTACAATTAATTTATCAAATTCAACAGCGACAGCCCTTGGAAGCATTTATTTACTTACTCATCTCTGTTAGTGTTTAAATTCTGAAACTTATTTGCTTCCCTCAGAATAGGAGACAGTTTTCCTGTTTTTGAACTAAGGCTTGTCTCGATTTGTGAAACATACGCAAATTTTATTTTGTTCTCTAAAATCTGTGTGTGGCTTTTTCCCTTTCTTTCTTTTGCTATTAGGCATTCATGCAGCCTCACTTGCTGGGAAATGAGTTCACACATTTGGAGTTCCCAAGGAGAGTGCAGAGGAAAGAGCTCGGGAAGAAGATGCTGTACAGGGACTTTAATATGACAGGCTGGTAAGAGCGCACCGCACTACCACACGCACCGTATAAAGCCACCAACACGAATGCAGCCGAGGACCTGGGCTCCAGGTTAAGGACAAGAGCCCACAACCATGGAGGACCAATTCTCAGTCACCTGTGTTACTCTCTACTTGTCTGAGACCCTCCATGGCAACACCAGATGCCACGAACCTGTCTTAAATCCTTGATTTACATAACACAATCATTTGGAGGCTTTTAAAATACATTATGCTTTATGTTTTTAGAGCAGAACAATCAAAGAGATAGAAGGAATGTGACTTAGTGAGCCATGCTGGTTTGGGTTTGGACTCCAGCAATTGATTTTCTGAATGGGCCATGGTGGATAAAATAACCTGGGAGCCCATTTTTTTCATGAATGAAGTGGGAAAGGGTGTCATCTGTGGAGGATCTTTGGGAAACCTGGGAGAGATGAGATGTTTTCTTTAGAGGTGCTAAACACCCCCCCCCCATCCATAGAGGTTAATTAGCTACCAATATGCAAATCTGAGGATGTTCGGGTCTCTTACAGAAAATGGCACAGAGTTTGCATTTAACCTATGCATAGCTAAGTGTAGACTACTTGAAATATTCAGCCCAAATAAATACTGTATACATAGTTTTATCATTTAGGAAATAGTGTCAAGAAAAATATCTGGGCATTTTCACTAGATACTTTCAAAAATGTATTTACCATTTGCAAACGATTGAATCCACAGTTACAAAAGCCATAGACAGCTTGGATATATTTTATCACATTGAGCATAAAGTAAGAACTCCTGGCATGGTTGCCTTCATCCCTAAACACACCTATACAAGCACCAAGACCTTGACCTACAGCTGACCAGTTGACAAATCTTGACTAAGACCCGATTCACTGTCTGAATAACAGGCAGGATGATAGTTACCTGACAGGAGGTTGGAGCGAGAAAACGCTGTCTCCCATGTTGCTGTGTGTGTGTGTGTGTGTGTGTGTGTGTGATGGATTTTCTACCCTGAGACCCTTATGAGGGTGCCTCTAGCCAACCAGAAGGACAGTAGAAGGTTGAGACAATTTGCTCTTTCTTCACAATGTCACTAGAAGAGGCAGCAAATGTATGACTATCTCTTCTTCATGGTCAACAGTTGGCCCAGATTGCCAAGGTGATGACGTTGAAGCTGGGACTCTGGGACATTCAGAGTTTTGAGTGAACAAGTTTAACTACCCATAGAGACTGGTCTGAGGGACCTGTTTGTCCTTTGGGGCTTGTTTGCTTGTTTGTGGTTTTGTCTTTTGCTAGGTGAAGAAGCGGATCCCAACCCCAACCTACTCTTCTTCTCAGATGAAATCAGTAAACCTTGACTGGGGAGCCACCGTCTGCCCGCCACCTGTTTCTGTGAATTAGTGTTTAAAGCCCACGTACCCACTTGTTTCAACACTGTGGCTGCCTTCACGGTACCACGGGGTACTGTGTGTTATGGAGTCCTCAGAGACTTTGTGGCCCAGAGAGCCCAAAAGATTTGTCCCAGCTCTGAAACAGGGGTAGAGAATCAGAAGGGCTTATGATATTTGCAGCTATGAGTTTTTTAAGTCCTGAAGTCATTATTCTCACCTCTTCTAATCTGCTTGAGTCCAGTCAGGAAAACGAGCATTTCTCATTAAAAATCAAATATAAGGTAAGGGAGGGTGTAGTTCAGAAGTACATGGAGGGGCTTAGATGTAAGTGTTGTAGAATTTGGAGATGCAGCAAGAAGGGTGATGAGTGCAGGTACTTGTAAGGTGGGGTAATATCTAAACGGGAGAGATAATAGCACCAGACTGAGCTTGTACTAAAGGAGATGTGGGAAGCCAGACAGCAATTTAGATTTCCTGTGGGATGATATAAGCTGCCCGTGTATATTCCTGGGGACAATGAAATGGAAATGTTTTCAGAAGGCTATATTAGCGGAGGTGAGGGTAGGCTGGCTTCAGACAGCGGAAGACTCAGGTACACAGAAGAAAACAGGCAGAGATAGGTATATATAGATACATGTGATACAGATAGAATATGTGGCCTCCCAACCTAGAGGAAAACAGGCAGAGATTGGTATGTATAAATACACATGATATAGATAGAATATGTGGTCTCCCAACCTAGTAAAAATGTAAATGAGCAGCAGACAATATGACGTGGTTCTAAATACATGGGGTAAGTCAGAGCAGCTTTGGTGGTCCATTTAAACGTCTTCTCGGTGTGCGAGCTGCTTTAGAGACACGGAGTACCTGGACCAACGCTTGTAACAGAGAATCAAGCAGCAGCAGCTATCACCGGATGAAATGGGGATGGATTCCCCTGACGGTGAGGGGCAGGCCATCCTGAAGGGTGGACAGAGGTTGCTTTTGAGGTATGTTAAGATTGAGACAAGACTGTGTGCTTATTCATCCCAAACCAGAGGTGCAAATCGAATGCCATGCCTCTGTTGTCCTAGGAAGGGTGACTTTGTGGCAGATACTTGTGGTGTGAGTTCACTGAGGTAGCGTGATAGCTCTTTGTGTCTGGAGAAAGCACTTGGGAAGAAAGGTGTCATCACTTTAATGGACAAGATGCCTTCAGAGGCTGTAACTAGCCACTCAAACTGTGTTCTGAGGTTAAGGGTTTATATTTTTTAATGTTCCTCTTTTCAGTCTATAGACTTAGACTATACCTAAGTTTTGTGGGGTTTGTGTGTGTGTGTGTGTGTGTGTTTGAGTGGCTCATATATCTTTCCCTTTATCAAGTCTAAAGTGCCCTCATTTTGCAATTTTTTAAAACTAAGTTCAGGAACTCGATTATATCCGACTTCATATGCACTTCCCAGAGCAGTGGGTGGGCGGGCCCTTTGTTAGCCGGGTTTCAGAGAAGCTCTTTCTCTGCCTTCCCACTCTCCATGTGTGTTAGTGCGGCACTACACAGAGCCGATGAGCTGCTTTTAATTGCGTGGAACTTCACTGAACACACTAAATAATTGAGTAGCCAAAACTGAGAATGGCTTCAGTCAGAGAGGATTTGAGTTGTTTCCAAGGTAATTCCCAGTGTGGCTGCGGATTTCCAGGCTTGACTGTGAGCAGGATTTATGTATGCCTTCATGCTTCCTACCTGTTCTTTCTTGATTTGAAAATGGGACTTAGAGAGGAGGGAGAAGCCCCTTCTATCCTTGTTAGATGAATTTGTGAAGTTTAAAACCCATTTACCCCACAGCCTCTGTAGATCCCACTTCCGCCCCACTAGAATATGCTGCGTTTCACCCCCTAGCAAAGAGCTTCCGGCCAAGAATTGGTTTGTCGTTGTTGTTGTTGCTGTTGTTTAGCTTGTTTGTTTGTTTGGTTGGTTTTTGCAGGGAGTTGTTGAAAAAGGGTCTCACATAGTCTAAGCTGGCCTAGAACTTGCGATGTAGCTACAGATGGAAGCCAGGGCCTTGTGTATCCTAAGGAAGTGCTCTGTCATGAAGCCCCAGCCTCAGGGGGGAATTTAGACAGTTAGACAATAGGACTATATAACATCTGCTCTTTCCTGCCTCTTCCTCCCAAGTGCTGGGATTGTGGGTATATGATTTTACAGTCCTGAAGGTGGAACTCAGGGCTTCATGCATGCTGGGTAAGCCCTCCACCAACTGAGCTGCAAGCTCTGGCCCCAAGGAGTCATTCTAAAACCCCAAGTCTGCTAAGCTTTCTCAGTCATTTGCAGAGGAGAAAGGGTTGGAGGATTAATTTATGAGAAGACAGAAGGGTTTTCAGCCTGTTTTTTTTTTTTCCCAGTAAAACCTTAAATGGCTACCAAGTAGGGTTGTGGTAGCTGCAGGTGGACTGCTGAGCAATAAGAGGGTGTCCACTCCAGGATGAGCAATAGGAGGGTGTCCACTCCAGGATGAGCAATAGGAGGGTGTCCACTCCAGGATGAGCAATAGGAGGGTGTCCACTCCAGGGTGAGCAATAGGAGGGTATCCACTCCAGGATGAACAATAGGAGGGTGTCCACTCCAGGATGCAAATGATTCCTTCCCTCACAACACCTTGTGTTTCTTGACTCCCAAGGCAGCCTTGGGCTATGAACTCATTTCTCTGATATGGCTAACAAAAGGTCCACACACTCCTGTGTGGTTAAAGCCCTGCAGGAAATTCTTGGTTGTGGAGGATTTTTTCACTTTGCCTCTGGCTGGCTGGCAGGTATTGTAAGAGCTGAGAGCCAAGCCCTGTGATGAAAACTTTATCTAACTCCTCAGATTTTGCTATTAAAGTAGGCCAGTATACTCAGTAAATTTTATAAGTCAAGAAACTTGAGGCACAAAGGTTAGCGTGCCCATGGTTGCAGGACTAGCATGAGAAAGGGGTAGGATGTGGCTGGAGACACATGGCTTCAGGTATGCGCGATTGTCTACTTCTCTGCACTGCCGATGACAGAATGAGTCCCCCTTGTTTCTAATCACCTCGCTTGAGCAAATCAAGACCCAGGAGTTTGCTCAGCTTCTACTGATACACAAGTGTCAAAATACGGTCTGGAACTGGACAGAAATATCCATCTCCTATTTCAAGACTCCTTCTTGGTTAGTATGCCAGCCAGCATTTCCCTAGGTCGATAGTTCTCAACCTTCCTAATGATGCAACCCGTTAACACAGTGCTGTAAAATTATTTCATTGCTTCTTCATAACATGAATTGTCATGTAAATACGTGATATGCACGGGGAGGGGGGGAGCACGCCTCAGCCCCACAGGTTGAGAACCACCGCTACAGGGTAAGAGTACACATCTTTACTCAGTTTGAGCACTGACGGAAATGTAAGCAGTGCAGTGTAGCCAGGTGGTGGAGGCGGCAGCAGCTCCTTTGATCCCAGCACTCAGGAGGGAGATCTCTGTAAGTTCGAGGTCAGCCTGGGTTACAGATCAAGTTCCAGGCCAGCCAGAGCAACACAAAGAAACCCTGTCCCCCCCCTAAAAAAACAAAACCAAAAAAAGAAATGTAAGCAGTGGACCCTGATCACACGGGTATCTCCTCAGCAGTCCTTTATGGACAGAAGGATGAAAGAACACATCTTGAGCTACAAGGCAGCGACTTTTCTCACCCCCTGTGTGACCGGATGGACTGTTAGTCAAATTAAACTGGGATGCTTCCCACTTTTCACCTGGAGTCCGCGCATGCTTTGGGGGATGGTCCGAAGTATCTCCAAAGAACCCACGCTTAGGGAAACTGATGCCTCTCATTAGGGGAGCCTTGCAGCCAGCATACTGTGGCGTGTCTGCAGCAGGGAGGAAGTGCGGGAGAGGATGTCAGCTCTGGGAAGCCTTGTCTCATAATTAAAGATGAGTCTGTTGCCTCCTGACAGGGACCCTTTCTCTCCCACCGTCTTGCTTTCTCGGAGACTGTGGAGCAGCTTGGCAGGCCCAGATTGTTTAGAGGACAAAAGGTTATTGTCACCAGGCCCATCATAATGAGATTGGTTGCTTCCCGGGCTCCCTGCCCCTCCCACCTTCCCCCTCTGCGATAGTTTGCTCTGCAGCTTGATTTACAAAGGCTTTGTCTGAGCACAGCAGCTCCGAGTGGGTCCCTGGTGTGGCCTTCCCTCGCTCCCCCCATCCACCCACTCAGCTCTCACCTTCTGCGCCTTGTGTCATTGGTCCTGGTGCCAGAATCCCCAGGCTGCTGCCCCTCCTCCCCAGCCCTTTGTGTCTAGCTGCTCTAGCAGGATGTACCCCGTAGCTGGCATTGTGTCAGCTGGAGAGCTCCGTGGCCCAACCCCGCAGCCCTCTGAGCTGTCTTGGGCTGTAATTTGCTGGCAAGTATCTTTGTTACTGACTTGAAACAACAGTTTCTCACAGCTGGCTCTGTGGCACCAGGTCCCTGCTCCTGGGACTGCCGGCGGTTTTGCTTTCTCATGTAAGGATCCATGTTCTCTGTGCCCTTCGTCCAGCCACATGGGGTGCTGGGCCCCAGATGACATTGGTGTGGGAGGGGCTGAGACCTCACCCCTGGCTTCAGGCCAGATTCTCCCGCAGCTGTTGTGGGGCCGATGGGATTTGTAGAGAGGGCAAGGGTCAAAGAAGAAAAGTCCATCATGCAAATGTGAGATTCCTTCCAGATGGTTCTGGGTAGAAGTAGTGTACACCAGACTTCTTCCTTCAAGCAAAGCCTCCCTAACTTTCGTGTTCACGATGGTCCGTTGAAGGGTCAGTGGTGGCACAAGGTCACATGGCTTACTGCGTGGGGGGTGGGCTTTCTGATGTTTTGCTCTGCCAAAGCCTCTTGTTGGTAAAATGCTTTCGGTGCCCATCACTGCCAACCTCTGTGTCCGGAGGGGTAAACTTTGCTCTGCCTTTATGAGCTTCTGGAAGAGGTAGAATCCAGAGACATTAACCTTTTATTCTCATCTCTTGCGACCCTTAAACGTCTAACGGCTTTGCCTTAGTGATGTGTCAGGATAACTTCCGCCTCCTCTGTTTCCTTAAAACTATGAACAAATTGGGATTTTCCAGTGGGGAACAAATGGAATCGGTTGTCGTGTTCCCCACTCAGCACTGCCTTTTTCGCTGAAAGCAAAGGAAATCTCTCCATTTTTTTCCTGGTGATCTCGAACACAACGTCCAGTAGCCACATGGGGCCTCATAAATTTCAATTAGTTAAAAATTAAACAGAATTAAAAATTAATTCGCCAAGTCTCACTAGCCGCAGTCATTTGCTCAGTAGCCACACCTGGCCACTGAATTGGATGTGCAGAACAGAGCATTTACATAATCCAGAAAGTTCTATTGGCCCAAGCTGTGGTCTACATAATAGGAGTAAGAGTAAGGTTTTAGAGTAAGTTGCAAGAAGTTGTCTGTAGCTAAACATCCCATCAGCGTAAGGTATCTAATCTAAACAGCTGAGCAGACAGCTAGGGATGTGGCTTGGTGGGTAAAGCCCTTGCCTGCCACGTAGGAAATCCTGGGTTTAATCTCTTGCACCACATAAACTGGGCATGGTGGTACATGTCTGTAATGCCGGCACTTGGGACAGGGAAGGAGAATTAGAAATTCAAGATCATGGATGGATGGGTGGGTGGATAGGTAGATAGATAGATAGATAGATAGATAGATAGATAGATAGATAGATAGGTAGATAGGTAGATAGGTAGATAGATAGGTAGATAGATAGAAGGGAAAGCCAGAGGGAAGAGGAAGAGGCCCCCTGACTAAGGCAGCTGGGGGATAGACTTCCAAATGTCCAGGGGCTTCTGTCTTGGTGTTTAGGAATGACTAACTCTACCCCAGCTGTCCCTTTGCAGGGCAGCAACAAAAGCTGCCTGCTGCAGACTGTGAAGGAAAACCTAGTTCATCTGCCCAAATCAGTAGCTTTCTCCCTCCCTCCCTCTCCCTCTTCCTCCCTCCCTCTCTCTCCCTCTCCCTCCCTCCTAGCCTCTCCCCACTGCCCCCTAGGCTGCTACCAGATGTTGCTACTTTCCTTCTAGCTTTTTCTTTTACTTCTTGGGAAGTAGTTCAGATCCTGAGGATCTGATTAAAAAAATAAGTTCATTTCCAAGGCTTTCGGTTCCATTTTGGGTGACCTTTATTCACAGTCTACAGCCTAGAAGCCCGGCTCAGTCATGAAAGACCCAGCCCCATAGCCTTCGGCTTTCACCAATAAAAAGGCAACATTTTCTGGAAAGAGAAACCTGCTGGAGACAGCCCCAAGTGTGTGGGGTCTCTGGGTCAAGTTGCACAAACACTGTCCATACAGCTTCTGTCTTCTCGATTATTGCTTTCTTCCCTGCCCTCTGCCAGTGCACACGGGTGGATCTCGGGAGAGGGAGAGAGCATGTGAGGAAGGCTCAAAGCCAGCTCCAGAGTGGCACCCACATTTAATACAAATTGATTTATTGAATCAGGCCAGGAGCCCTGTTACAGGAACCCCAGGCCTTCTCCTCCCTCCTACCACCTCATAAAGTTGCATTACTGACACTCCTCATTAGCTTGCCCACTGATCCCCAGGCAGCTTTTAAAGGGGCACTGCCCTTCTCTGGGGCTTGAATTTATATGTTGGTCATGCCTGTGGGTCTAATTAACTCAGCATTATCAGTCTTACTTAGAAAGCCTGCGTTTTCTAGTGGCTTGACTCTCAACTCTCACAAAGTAATTGAAAAATTCAAACTCTACTTTTTTCCCTTTTTTTGCTCTTAATCACTCTTAACCCAATTTTTGGAAAATTTGCTCACAGATATCTCTGGCTGGTGTTTTGGGGGTGCAGAAGGATTTCTCAGTCCCACTCTGTTGCAAATCCTGACATTTCTGTTGTGCCGTGGACCGCACCGGGAAGCTTTTTAGACTCACCAGAGAAATATCACATTTTAATTTTATAATTACTTCAGAAGAAAGCAAGCTTTTCCCTAGTGAAAGCTGGCATTCATTTCCTCCCAGCAACTTGTGTTTTCATAGTTTAACGATTATGGTCCGCCTTGGCAGTCATCAGACAGCCGAGAGTAGTGTGAAAATCTTGACTTTACAGAGATCAGGGTGAGGGCTTGGCGATTGTCTCCGGGAACTTTTACCCCAAACCTCAGTAGACTTCAGGGTATGAGGGTTATCTGGAGCCTGGATTGAGCCCATCAAAGGCTTCTTGTTCCAAGTTCCAGGCAGGAAAGTGAGGCCACAGCCACAGTGAGACCGGGTCAGTGCCGTGTGGAGAGTGGCCTGTCCCTGGCTCGCACAGCCAGGATGATGAATGGCTATTTGCAATGTGCATGTTCTGCGTCTTTTCAAGATCTGCAGCTCTTGCTGCAGGAGCAGCAGGGAAGAAAGCCATCCCTGCTGTGTGCAGCACATCTCCTGACAGTGATGAATGGCTCCCACTCCTGCCCCATGCAGGAGGCCAGGGGAAGCCGTGAGGTCTTCACAAAGGGAGGTGAACCAAGACAGACAGGCTTTGTCAGGCCACTGGGAAGAGAAAGAAAAGGGACACCCCACCATCTTGCTCCCTATTGATGGGGCACCCCTGTGCACACTCACACAGACCCTCACCTCTCCTTACCATTCCTAAGGTATCCAAGCTGCTTCCCAGCCTCCCTTTCTTCTCCTCAGAGCGACTGAGGAGTCATACCATCCCCATACCACCTACTTAGGTTGTATGTACTGTTCACCCCCATGTATGCTAGCTGGGGCTGTGTAACACGTGGTGCTCACACGGCTTCAAGTCATCTGGGAGAGTGTGAGAAGTCCCAGGCCTTCAGAAATTTCTGTTGAAGTAGATGGGATTAGGGGTCCACTACTTAGATTTTGCAGATCTATGTTGTATGCCTGTTGCATATGAAATATTACATTGAGAACGGGTATGATGAAGCCAGACTACCTTGCTGAGTCAGTTACCACGATATGGCTTTAACAAATCATGCCACTGTGGTTCCTCCAATTGTGATACGTGGTTAATTATAGTACCAAATGGTGGTTATATTATGAATTTATGTGCCAGGTAGGTGCCCAGCAGAACTTTCTTGTTCTAAGTGCTGGAGGAGTATCTAATTTATAATCATTAGATGTGCGTCTATATGTGTGCATGTGTGTGTATGCATGTGTGTTCGAGTGTGTATTGCATATGTGTATGTATGTGTGTGTGCATGTATGTATGTGTGTGCATAGGAGTGTGCATGTGTGTTCAAGTGTGTGTATTGTGTGCATGTATGTGTGCGTGTGTATGTATTGTGTATGTATGTGTGTATATTTATGTGCATGTGTATTGTGTATGTATGTATTATATGTGTGTATATATGTGTGTGAGCTATATAGGATTAATGGATGAATGGGGGCTTATAATCCAGAGTGCATTCAAATGCTTGTTTCCCAAGGAAATGAGAAGCTAGAAATCAAAAAGGGAAATAGGCAGTTTGGAGATGCAAATGTCAGCAGTGTCAGGGTATGTTGGCCGGCTCTGCCTGGCAGCTCTGCACTACAGCAGATTAGGTGAAGAGACAGGCGCAGCACAGCTGAGGTGACATTGCACTGTATGAGAGAGATGCTCTGTGCTGCCCAGATCCTCATGTCAACCCCTCTCTTCCTAGCACTGATTAGTCAGGTGCTTTTTATTCTATAGAATTCTTCAGACCTGCTCTTGCTTTAGGTCATTGACCCTGTGCCTTTCTGAGCCATCCCTGTAACAGCAGGGATACCAAGCTCCTCAATGACTAAGTCAAGACCTCCTATTGGAAGGAGCTAACCACATAGGACTGTGGTAGTCTGTCGACTGTTTTACTATATAGAAATGTAGAAGTTATTAACAAGGGTTTAAATACAAGACCTGAAGCAGTCGTGGAGGAAGCAGTTGTTTTTTGAGAGAGGAGATTGAGTTTGTGCAGGTGGTTACGTTAGAATCTAAAGGCGTAGACTCAGACAGGGGTCTCAACAGAGCTGGTGCTACCAGAATGGATATTGTTTGCGAAGAAAACAGCACAAGCAGAGGCCAAAGGGTTTAAGACAGAATGTGTGTTTTGGGAACTTAGAAGCCAGAGGTGATATTCAAAATGTTTTAATAATCAATGTGGAGAACATAGACTCAGCCTGTCGGATACAAGGGTCCCGGAAATCCCCTGCTGTGCTAGGCATTATTAAGCCTTTATTGACTATTGCATCCTGGGGACTCTGCAAAGGACACAGAGTACAGACAGGAGTCATTTCACAGCCGGTGTGTAATTATTTCAGTGTGGCACACAGTTAAATTGGTGCATGTCAGCTAGACATCGTTGCTTTGCTAGCGGTAGTGCCACATAACGAACACAGAGGATGTATAGTATAGCACAGGAGT